AGCTGGGACTTTCCTCAATGTTTACAGACTGCTCAGAAGTAATCCAGAGATTCTCAGATGGCAGACTACAGGAAGAAAACCACTGATATACAGATATAATTTGGATAATCCTCCTAAGTTTTTAATATTCAGTTAAACTTGCTTCCAAATGGAAGTGTAAAACCAAGAGACTCATGAGCACTTTCTTTATTTGTCATATATGTCTAGACTAAGTGAATAATGATATAAAGCCTATAAACAATTGGAAATTAAAAATAATTTAAAAGCTGAAAATGTATATGTCGTAAAGGTTGTGCAGGTATTGGCATTGCAGAAACCCAAGGAAAGACAGATGTAAAAAAGGTAGCTAAGTTGTTTCCATTTCAAATAAGTTTGACCTAGGAAAAACTTAAAATGTATGCTTCTAATGTTTTCCTCAATTTCTCATTATTTTCTATAGGACTGTGGCACTAGTCAGGTATGGCATATAATCCTTATAGTGTTACCTCCATAAGTTAATCTTTTCTGTCTCCAAAATAGGTATTCCTTTGGCATGTTGATTTACTAAACCCAAACATATTCTCACTATATTTACTAAAAATTGATGAATCAGTGAATTGGTTTGCAAAGAGTTAATCTCTACATTTGAAGTTTTTTCTAAAGCTTAGATTTTAGCTCCCTGAAAACCTAGTGTAGGGCTTTTTACCTGCTGTCAGAGTCTTCTCCTATCTATCCTCTGCTGTCTATCTTCAATCTCCTCTCAGAAAAACAGATATAATTCTATCTCTTCTCATTAAAACCAGTTATACTTTTTAAAATGTTACCTAGACATGAAAATGACAATCTGAATTTCTAAGTCATATCAGATATGTGAGCAGAATTCTTTTCTTAAGTGTCTACACAACAAGTTACAGCATTAATAGTAAGTACAGTATAATAGCAATCTGGAGAAATGTCTAAATCTTTCACAAGTATTTTCTTTTTCCTTTGCAGCCTTTACCTTGTCACTTGCACCAGAATCTATGAAGGTGCTCCAGCATGGTGGCAGCTTCAAGCACATTAAGTATTATCTGTGTGATATGCGCACACAGTATTTTCAAATACAGCATCACACATACACATGGGCCTGGATCTATGTCTGGAAATGTGATTCCTGTTCAAGTAGCTCTCCAGCCTGATTTCAGAAGAAACACTCTTATCTAGCAAAGAATTTTAATCATATGCTTGAGCTTCATTCAAAACAATGAGAAAGATGTGTACAAGTGCTTAACTCTCAAAATACTAGAGGCATGTGCTCCATTATTTAAAATAATTATGAAAAAAATAATAATTTTGCTATTTTTTTATCCTTTCTATTCTATTAACTCTACTAATCAATTTTTCTTGTATCTTTTTTTCCTGCTGCAAATGCTTTAACAGACTGCAGCAATAATGCTTATAAAACTCTTTGTCCTTCATTGTCAATGTACATTTTTAGCCGCCTTCTGTTGATTTTGCCTCATACACTCAGACTGGACTAGACTTGTTTTTCTCAGTCTTGCCCTTTGCAATTTTTGCCTCACTTTGCAGCTCTGCTCACTTACAGTGGTTTCTTTGTCTTTCCATCAATTGAGATGTAAAAAGGGTAATTTAGGAAGGTGGGAGGATATGGAGTGGGAAGTGAGGATGAGGAAATCTTCAAAAAGTTTTGCCTGTTTTTTACCTTGTCAAGCAGCCTTACATAAAGCAGTTTCTCCTGGCCATGGCAGGCCAGACTACTTTCTCCCTAGCATATTATGGATGACCTTTCAACAAAACAATAAAGTTGTTGCCTAATTTTAAGTGCACACATAAATTTTATTATCTTCAATAATCACAAGTTAAAGATAAGCATAAACTGACTTGATTTGCCAAGTAAGGATGAGTTTAACAATTGTTCTTAGTGTTCCTCATTGAATCTTGGCCTAAAGGTTGGCCAAACTAGTCTTCCACCCTACTGGAAAGCATCCAAAGCTTCTAGTACTGTGTATTATCTATCTGTGTCAACTAGTCTGATACCCATTTCTTGTTCACTAAGGAAAAGGCTAAGTTTCTGCCTTTGAGTCTGATCCCTGTGTGCCCCTGTCACTAAATCTTAGCTCAGCACATCTGAACTGCTACTCTTTCAACAGCTGATCAAATGTGCATATCGTCAAAAGCAATGTAAGCTTCTGGTTTGAACCCACTTAATTATTTATTTTTAAATCATGTATTTATTTTTAGAACAAAGGTGCTGGGCTATTCAAAATGTAATGTAGAAGCCTTTGAACCCTTTTAGCCTCCATATTCTAGACGAGTATACAATAACAAGGCTACAGATGTGATATTCACTGAATTCCTACTGAGTAACTTTGCCTTGGCACAAAATCCTAAACTATTGGTAATAAAGATAAGGGTCTGAAGTACTGTGGAGTTCTCCATAAACTTGAGACACTGGCAGAAGGAGGGTAAGGCAGGCACTACCATCATTCATCTGGAAGCAGAGATAAATAAATACTGGGTG